AACAAACTTATACATTGTTGACAGCGTCGCCAACACCAGAAACAGCTTACCTATGTCTTGCTCCGTCAAGGCAAGGACAGGCATGAGGACCTTGCAAGGTATGCAAATACTGAATATTGTTATCCTATTACTCATAATAAGAGAGAAATTAACATTACAAAAAATCTTAACTGGTTTTTTTTTTCAAGAAGTCACTGAAACATGAAAATGAGGTCAAGGACAATGGACATATGACAGACAGAAACTTCATAACATAAGGTATTTCTATGCATAGTATGAAGCATTCAAGTCTTCTACCCTCTGAAATATTAAGTTTTTCAGTACATGTAATTAGTTAAACCTGCAGTTGTTGCCAGATCACTATCTCTATGTCTTACTTTTTGCAACAAAAGTAGCATGTGAGACAAAAAGCAAAAAGGGTAAAAATTGTAATTTAATGGCAATAACTCTTGTATGGAGTAGTTTGACAATTTCCTTTATTTGATACATTTGTCATGTTTTTAGATCTAATTATTTGCTGTTTACAGTTTCTCTCTAGATGTCTTATTATCTGGAATATTATAGCCAAACAAACACCAAACCAAAAGAAAGCAGATGCCATGTGGTGGTCAATAAGGTGAGCTAAACTTGAGAACAAGACACACTGAATAACAATCCACAAAGTTAAATGTCCTTTAACACTGACAGATGACTCATAAAGTTTTTGTTGACTTTAAAGGGTATAACACAACTTTTACTATCATATAAATTTGTAGTTTATTTTTAAAAGCTAAAGTTTTATTGACTTACATGGTTTTAAGTCACGTTTTCTCAGTTTCACGATCATTAATATTAGAATTCATTTCCCAGAAGATTCAGTGTATAAAGCATTAAAAGACATGAAGGATGATCACATTTACAAAATTAACTTTGATTAAATTTAGAATAATTAATGACAAACTACATCATGTACATGTAAGAGCAAACATAAAGTTAAATATAAAATCTATTCTGACTCATGATCATGAATAAATCATAAAATATAGTATGATTTTGATGTAAGAATGTTTTTCATATACACATATTAATATTTCATGTACACTACAGCTCAGTAAAGTTTTTTTTTATTTCACCTGCCCCACCAAAAGAAACCCACTCATGTCTACTCAAATTAAAAATACTTTTTAGAAAAAAATATTGAGTACAAAAGCTTTTCTTATTTTTCCAAGGTACAGTTTAATCAAGTCATGATTAAAACTAGACATCATTGAGATGGGAGCCATCTCTGTAGGCCCTGCTGTAAATAACGTGTGGTAGGACATGGGGTTGTCAACTGAAACCAAATTTTTTTACCTTTGTCCTAGGAAGTTGTACATACATTATGACACACCTTCTGGTGTTGGTTAATATACATGTCAAATATAAAGTATGAAATCATAACGGTACTCAAGATATAGAGCGGACACAATTTGTTAGGGATGGATGGACCGACAGACAGACAGACAGATAGATGGATCTTTGACCTAGGAAGTTGTACATACATTTACATTATGACACACCCTCTAGTGTTGGTTAATATACATGTCAAGTATAAACTTTGAAATCATAACGGTTCTCAAGATATAGAGCAGACATGATCTGTACCGTACGACATGGGGTTGTCAACTGAAACCAAAAATTTGACCTTGACCTTTGACCTAGGAAGTTGTACATACATTATGACACATCCTCTGGTGTTGGTTATTATACCTGTCAAGTATAAACTTTGAAATCATAACGGTTCTCAAGATATAGAGCGGACATGATCTTTACCATAGGACATGGTGTTGTCAACTGAAACCAAAGTTTTTGACCTTGAACTTTGACCTAGGAAGTTGTACAAACATTATGACACACCCTCTGGTGTTAGTTAATATTCATGTCAAGTATAAAGTATGAAATTATAATGGTTCTCTAGATAAAGAGTGGACACAATTTGTTACGGACCAACGGCCGGAAGGACGGCCGGACAGACTGATCACTATAGGGCAACCGGCCACTAGGTGGGGATAATAAATGGAGAATATGTCCATGGAACACAGATGATGCTCCCGCATGCATATAACTTTATAAAGGGACATAACTCAAGAACGGTAACAGTAAAGCAACCCAAATTCGAACTTGATCTGTGTTTTGTGGTTAGCATTGTGTATAAGTTTCATAACATATGGTTGAGGCAAATTAAAGTTAGAGAAAGGAAACTAATTTTGGAACGTACGGACAGATGGACATACAGACACAAAAGGGTAACACTTAATGCCCCCTCCGCTGCGACTGGGGGTTTAAAAAAGAAATTGCAAGTTCATTCTAGAGGGTGGGCACAGGGGACATCTAAAAGTGTTGCCACCAAGGACAGATGATAATGACATAATCCATGTTAGCTGTAGTGTATATACATGTATCACATAATGTACTTAAAAAATGGCATACAAATACATGTAGTATAACTATACATCATGTACATTGTTTAAAAATATGTAATTGGTTTGTATTTAAGGCTTATATTAGTAACAGGTAGAATGCAAGGCTGTGCTGAGCATTTCTATCCTGTTTAAAGCAAAGTACAAATAAAATTTATATTTCAAGTCAAAGAATCATTGTTCTCGTTATACTGCCAAAAGACATCAAACATATTGTCTTCACAACCAGACAAGTGACCATACAACACTTACTAGTATGTCAAAATTATCAAGCTCAAAATTGTCTCCTTAAGTCTAAAAATGTTGTCAATAAATCTAACAGAAACTTAACAGATCTGTCGGCAGTACCAAATTCCATAAAGACAAAATCACCAAAAACATTGAGATATAACAAAAGACAAGAGTGCACACGCTGAAATGTCTTGCCTTCTTTATTAATCATTGATATTATGTTGATAGTCCTAAATATAAAGCTTTATTATAAATGTCACATAAACTTAACATTAACCAAAAAACTAAACATTGACCAATGAACCATGAAAATGAGGTCAAGGTCAGATGAACCTTCAACCATGCCAGGCAGACATGTACTGCTAACAATTCTTCCATACAACAAATATAGTTGACCTATTGCTTATAGTTTAAGAAAAACAGACCATAACACAAATCTTAACACTGAGCAATGAACCGTGAAAATGAGGTCAAGGTCAAATAAAACCTGTGCGACCAACATATAGATCATAAAATATTTCCATATACCAAATATAGTTGACCTATTGCATATAGTATTAGAAAAAAAGACCAAAACTCAAAAACTCAACTTTTACCACTGAACCATGAAAATGAGGTCAAGGTCAGATGACACCTGCCAGCTGGACATGTACACCTTACATTCCTTCAATACACCAAATATACTAGACCTATTGCTTATAGTATCTGAGATATGGACTTGACCACCAAAACTTTTTAAACCTTGTTCACCGATTCATGACATGAGGTCGAGGTCAAGTGAAACTTGTGCGACCGACATATAGATCATAAAATATTTCCATATACCAAATATAGTTGACCTATTGCATATCATTTATGCATATAGTATTAGAAAAAAAGACCAAAACTCAAAAACTTAACTTTGACCACTGAACCATGAAAATGAGGTCAGGTCAAGGTCAGATGAAACCTGCCGGCTAGACATGTACACCCTACAATCATTCCATACACCAAATATAGTAGACCTATTGCATACAGTATAAGAAAAACAGACATAAACACAAAAACTTAACTATAACAACTGAACCATGAAAATGAGGTCAAGGCCAGATAACACCTGCCAGCTGGACATGTACACCTTACAGTCCTTCCATACACCAAATATACTAGACCTATTGCTTATAGTATCTGAGATATGGACTTGACCACCAAAACTTAACCTTAAAATTGAGAATGGAAATGGGGAATGTGTCAAAGAGACAACAACCCGACCATAGAACAGACAACAGCAGAAGGTCACTAACAGGTCTTCAATGCAGCGAGAAATTCCCGCATCCGGAGGCGTCCTTCAGCTGGCCCCTAAACAAATATATATACTAGTTCAGTGATAATGAACGCCATACTAAACTCCAAATTGTACACAAGAAACTAAAATTAAAAATAATACAAGACTAACAAAGGCTAGAGGCTCCTTACTTGGGACAGGCGCAAAAATGCGGCGGGGTTAAACATGTTTATGAGATCTCAACCCTCCCCCTATACCTCTAGCCAATGTAGAAAAGTAAACGCATACCAATACGCACATTAAAATTCAGTTCAAGAGAAGTCCGAGTCTGATGTCAGAAGATGTAACCAAAGAAAATAAACACTTGTTCACTGATCCATGAAATGAGGTCGAGGTCAAGTGAAAACTGTCTGACGGGCATGGGGACCTTGTAAGGTACGCACATACCAAATAAAGTTATCCTATTACTTACAATAAGAGAGAATTTAACGTTACAAAAAATCTTAACTTTTTTTTCAAGTAGTCACTGAACCATGAAAATGAGGTCAAAGACATTGGCCATGTGACTGACGGAAACTTCGTAACATGAGGCATCTATATACAAAGTATGAAGCATCCAGGTCTTCCACCTTCTAAAATATAAAGCTTTTAAAAAGTTAGCTAACGCCGCCGCCGGATCACTATCCCTATGTCGAGCTTTCTGCGACAAAAGTCGCAGGCTCGACAAAAACCAATGACAAGATTACTGATTTGAGAGTTGGGACACTCACATGAACATGGAAAATTTAAATATATAATAACTAACAACATAGCAGAATAGAGATTGAAGATAGTAAGGGGACATAATCACATTCCAAACCCATAAGTTGATTTACAGAAGTGAAGCCGACAATGTCATGGCAATTTTCTTTTTTAAAACGACAAATTGAGAAACAAGTCCACAAACCACTACATAGAAAACTAAAGATTGAGCAACACTAAGCCCATAAAATATTGGGGCTGCTCTCATATTGATTATAAATCTAAAGCTAATTTGTAAGCTAAAAGTGGCATAAAAAACTAGCCAATTTTCCTGTATATTTTTATCATGTTTATACATTTTTTGACATTATCTGAGTAAAAAATTTAAAAATTCAATTATATAGGTTAAAAGATTTCTGGCTATGTATGTATACTGCACAAGAACATTTATACAAATGTCTTTTGTAATTACATATGATTAAAAGTTTAAATATATCTACAATATCTACTTTTTCATACACCATATTACATTTTTCACACAGTTCCAAAACCCAATCTTTTAATCAAGTATTCAAGGATCATGACGAGGATGACACGCGCTCCTCATCAACCATAAACATAGAATTGACAGTATTGTCGATATGAATCTTAGTATGGGTTTGAAAGTTACCTCTAAGACTAAACCTTTTACCACATACATCACACTGGTAAGGTCTTTCTCCCGAATGGACAGTCATGTGTCTCTGTACACTATGACTCTCACTAAATGATCTACCACAAACTTCACATTTGTATGGTTTTTCACCTGTATGTGTTCTCATGTGTTTCTGTAAAGAACTGTTCATGGTAAATCCTTTTCCACATTCTCCACATTTAAATGGTTTAACAATTGCATGGGATCTTTTATGTATCGCTAAGTTCCCACGGAGTCTAAACCCTTTCCCACATTCATCGCATTTGTGTGTTTTATCATTTTTGGCATCTGTATGTATTACCAAATGTGATTGAAGCTGACCACTCTGACAAAATCCTCTATCACATACGTGGCATACATATGGTTTTTCACCAGTATGCGTTCTCTGGTGTTTCTTTAATGTTCCACTAACTCTAAATTCTTTACCACATACCTCACATTTAAATGGTTTTTCACCAGTATGGATTCTCATGTGAGTTTGAAGCTGTCCCTTAAGACTAAATGCTTGGTCACACTGATCACATTTATGAGGTTTCTCACCAGTATGTATTTTCATGTGTGCATGTACATTACTACTCTGACTAAATTTCTTACCACATACATCACATTTATGTGGTTTTTCACCTGTATGTGTTTTCATGTGGTGTCTCAAAATAGTGTCCATACTAAATTGTTTCTCACATATTCCACACTTATATGGTTTTTCATTGGTATGTACTATCATGTGTGTCTTTAAATTACCACTTTGTCTAAAGTCCTTTCCACATATATCACATTTAAAAGCTTTACCTTGAGTATGTACCTTAAGATGTGTTTTCAAATAATTTTTCTGATTAAATGTCTTTCCACACTGCCCACATGCATATGCTTTTTCACTAATATGGATTTTCACGTGTCGTCTTAAATTTCTACTACTGCTAAATTGTTTCCCACAATTTGGGCAGAATAATTGCTTTTCAACAGTATGCATCCTCAAATGTTTATTATAGTGCCCTATATGACAAAACCCTTTTCCACATTCATCACACTTATATTGTATTATACCCGTATGGGTCCTAAGATGTCTATAAAAGTTGCCATTATGATTAAAACTTTTGCCACATTCACTACATACGTAAGATTTTTCAACATTTTGCATTTGCATCCGAACTTGATCATCAGCATTTTGGTAAAGTAATTCATTTGATTTACTGCACACCTCAGCACTTTTGTAAAGCGATTCATTTGATTTACTGCACACCTCAGCACTTTTGTAAAGCGATTCATTTGATTTACTGCACACCTCAGCATTTTGGTAATGTGATTCATTTGATTCACTGCACACCTCAGCACTTTTGTAAAGCGATTCATTTGATTTACTGCACACCTCAGCACTTTTGTAAAGCGATTCATTTGATTTACTGCACACCTCAGCATTTTGGTAATGTGATTCATTTGATTCACTGCACACCTCAGCACTTTTGTAAAGCGATTCATTTGATTTACTGCACACCTCAGCACTTTTGTAAAGTGATTCATTTGATTTACTGCACACCTCAGCATTTTGGTAATGTGATTCATTTGATTCACTGCATACCTCAAGCTTAACTGGAACACCTGTAATATCTGCCATATTTACTTCCAAAGTGGTTCAGTTATATGGATGTTTGCTATGAGTAATATCAAACTATTTCTTTCAGAATACCGAGCCAAAAAAAGTTAAATTCTTAAAGTTCTGCACACTGTTTACTCTGTCTTCTGATTTCCATTCATCTATCTCTACATTGTGCACACCTATAAAAGTAATAAAAATTATGTGTAGATCAGGGTTTTTAAAAATGGTTTGAGCCAGTTTGCCATTTTAATTATCTACTCATAACTCTTGATAAGCAACTAGTGAAGATGGCGATTAATAAATATATCTCTATTACCATGATTACAAGTATCTGTTTGTCCATGGTTAAATTAAAAATAAAAGAAAAGTGTTAGTATTTTTTTAACTCCATTATACATAAACACAAATTGTTATCAGGTATAATGGACATGGCAATTAATACTATACATACAATTATGAATCAGGATCCGTTCGCCCTGATTCATGTTCACCTTAATACTTGCTTGCCCTAATTTTTATTTTATCTTATTGTTCATGGTATAATATAGTATTTAAATAGAATATGTTGAAGTGTTTCATCTGTATGTTGAAAATTTCATCAGATATATATGTTGTATTGCTTCTGCCAGATCATTATTTTCCTTTGATTAGCACTGACAGGGGCGTAGCTACCTTCTTAATGAAGTGTAGTCACAAACTAAAGGGTGAGGGGTCTGGGGGCCGCCTAAGGCCCCCAGTAGGTCCAGGGCAGAAACCCCTCCGGAAGCTCAGGATATATTTAGCGTTTCAAAACAATCACAACCGTAATAAAATTTGTACATTTTTGTTGTGGTTTTTTGGTCATCTATTTGTTTAACTTTGAGTCGAATGAAGACTAAACATTGTCGTTTGCGTTTTTTATACGCTGTGAGAGTTTTTAAAATCACGGAGATTTGTTCGATATGCAAGTATTTGTATTGAGCAAAGTAGATGTATAAAAAACAAATAATACACATAAACACAATACTATATGTGGAGTTTCTGTTAGTATAAACATCATTGGATAACAAATACTTGGTGGACACATTCTCCAATATTTTGCTTAACATATATATTTGGATGATCAAAACATTTGTGGGTAAACTCTACAAGAGAGAGATAGGAATTTCTAATTTTACGCAGTTAGGAATTCTCGAAGTTGAAATTAATGAATATTTTCAGAGGGAATGGTACTTCAAATTGATCACGATCTTTTTCATGATCTGCGTTTGTTAATTAACAAATACTTATGCATTCGACCAGTTGTATGGCAATATCTAGATGATAACAGTGAAGATATGTGTATTAAAAGTTTGGTGTATCTTTCGAAAAAAAATCAGCAGCTTAGTGTCCCGACTCGGACAGAGAATTCATTATAAAATCGAATGACTAAATAGTCCAGTAAAACGATTTAAAATTAACAATTTATTTAAATGCTTTTACAATCAACCATTCGTATTGTCGGTCTATATAGAAACGACTTCGAATTATCGAATCTATATACAAGATGTTTTTTTGTAAAATAAATAAAAACGTAATACATGTACTTGAAAATGTGTACTTCTTTTATAACAGCAGTTCCAACTTCTCATCTACTAGTATACGGAAACTATTGATTGTTTGAATGGTTATTAATGTCCGGTTACAAATATTACATGACACCAGGACGAGAATCCGTTGACGTGATGTGAAAATGAACTATTCGTGTTGTCAAGACCTACATACTTAGTAAATTTTGAACTAGTTCACAAGGTAACAGTCATTATTCCCGGATCAATACGAGTTGAAGAGTCTTCGTTCTAGTAAGATGTGTGCTTTGATGCAAAGCGGAAAATAATAATGTTCAAGTTTTTTTGTTAACCCTAAAGGGATTATGCTTTTTTTCCCTCAAGGCGAGTATACGTTATGGTGGTGGTACCGACAACTATTTAGCTAGTATTTTCTAAACAATGCCCATTATACAAAAAGTTCCGCTAAGTTTACACCAGTTGTATGTATACATGTCTTACAGGATTAAAAATTTCGCTGCATGTGTATTCCTCTTGCTTTTATTCTTGAGGTAGTTTTTAAATTGCATACATAGAAAGACCAATTCCTATATGTTAACTTTGTCCCTCTCTCTCTCTCTCTCTTGTTTTTTTGTTTTTTTTTTTGGTGAAAACGACGTGGATGCACGTGCTGTCGTGCCTCCGGGTAGCTACGCCCCTGACTGAAGTGCACAGGAATATAAGGTATTTAATATAAAACAACCATAGACCAAGTTATCTGGGTTTTTTTCTGATAATCTTATCTTTTTTTTTACATTTTTTACTAAGTTGTCTGTATGTACATGATGTACAATCACCTATAGTTAGAGGAGGGGATAAGGTGTCTGCACAATGGTAGGCGGTGTTGTCATAGAAGTTAGTAATAATAAAATGCTTCGCTGGGCGCAGCTTGATACGACCGCAGAGGTCGAACCCTGAACAGTTGGGGCAAGTATGGACACAACATTCAAGCTTGATACAGCTCTGAATTTGGATTGTGATTAAATATTTGACACAGCATAGGTTTCTGACACAGAAAGAATGTGGTCTAAGAACTTCAATTTTTTTAATTTACCTATTATGGTCCAATGTCCAAAATCAAAATACATGGTTAGATTCAGCATATCAAAGAACCCCATATATTCAATTTTTGTTGAAATCAAACAAAGTTTAATTTTGGACCCCGATTTGGACAAACTTGAAAACTGGTCCCATAATCAAAAATCTAAACACATGTTTAGATTCAGCATATCAAAGAACCCCAAAAATTCAATTTTTGTTAAAATCAAACTAAGTTTAATTTTGGACCCTTTGGACCTTAATGTAGACCAATTTAAAAAACGGGACCCAAAATTAAAAATCTAAAAACACGGTTAGATTTGGCATATCAAAGAACCCCAATAATTCAATTTTTGATGAAATCAAACAAAGTTTAATTTTGGACCCTTTTGACCTCAATATGAACCAATTTGATAGCAGGCCCACAAAATAAAAAATCTAAATACATGGTAAGAATCAGCATATCAAAGAACCCCATATATTCAATTTTTGTTGAAATCAAACAAAGTTTAATTTTGGACCCCAATTTGGACCAACTTGAAAACTGGGCCAAAAATCTAAAATCTAAATACATGTTTAGATTCAGCATATCAAAGAACCCCATATATTCAATTTTTGTTGAAATCAAACAAAGTTTAATTTTGGACCCCAACTTGGACCAACTTGAAAACTGGTCCCATAATCAAAAATCTAAACACATGTTTAGATTCAGCATATCAAAGAACCCCAAAAATTCAATTTTTGTTAAAATCAAACTAAGTTTAATTTTGGACCCTTTGGACCTTAATGTAGACCAATTTAAAAAACGGGACCCAAAATTAAAAATCTAAATACACGGTTAGATTTGGCATATCAAAGAACCCCAATAATTAAATTTTTGATGAAATCAAACAAAGTTTAATTTTGGACCCTTTTGACCTCAATATGAACCAATTTGATAGCGGGCCCACAAATAAAAATTCTAAATACATGGTAAGATTCAGCATATCAAAGAACCCCATATATTCAATTTTTGTTGAAATCAAACAAAGTTTAATTTTGGACCCCAATTTGGACCAACTTGAAAACTGGGCCAAAAATCTAAAATCTAAATACATGTTTAGATTCAGCATATCAAAGAACCCCATATATTCAATTTTTGTTGAAATCAAACAAAGTTTAATTTTGGACCCCAACTTGGACCAACTTGAAAACTGGGCCCATAATCAAAAATCTAAACACATGTTTAGATTCAGCATATCAAAGAACCCCAAGAATTCAATTTTTGTTAAAATCAAACTAAGTTTAATTTTGGACCCTTTGGACCTTAATGTAGACCAATTTAAAAACGGGACCCAAAATTAAAAATCTAAATACACGGTTAGATTTGGCATATCAAAGAACCCCAATAATTCAATTTTTGATGAAATCAAACAAAGTTTAATTTTGGACCCTTTTGACCTCAATATGAACCAATTTGATAGCGGGTCCACAAATAAAAAATCTAAATACATGGTTAGATTCAGCATATCAAAGAACCCCAAGAATTCAATTTTTGATGAAATCAAACAAAGTTTAATTTTGGACCCTTTTGACCTCAATGTGGACAAAGTTGATAACAGGGCCCAAAAATCAAAAATCTAAATACATGGTTAGATTCAGCATATCAAAGAACCCCATATATTCAATTTTTGTTGAAATCAAACAAAGTTTAATTTTGGACCCCGATTTGGACCAACTTGAAAACTGGGCCCATAATTAAAAATCTAAATACATGTTTAGATTCAGCATATCAAAGTACCCTAAAAATTCAATTTTTGTTAAAATCAAACTAAGTTTAATTTTGGACCCTTTTGACCTTAATGTAGACCAATTTGAAAACGGAACCAAAAATTAAGAATCTAAATACACGGTTAGATTCGGAATATCAAAGAACCCCAATAATTCAATTTTTGATGAAATCAAACAAAGTTAAATTTTGGACCCTTTGGACCTCAATGTGGACCAATTTAAAAACGGGGCCCAAAATCCAAAAACTTAATACACGGTTAGATTCAGCATATTAAAGAACCCCAAGAATTCAAGAATAAAACCCCATTGAAATTGATCAAGAAATAAGTAATTTATACGAAGTATCTTCTTTTGCACAATACTGTGCAATTGAATATTTCTTGCTATTGTGCAATACTGTACAATTGACAATTTCTTGCTATTGCGCAATATTGTGCTATTGGATATTTCTTGCTATTGCGCAATACTGTGCAATTGAAGATTTCTTGCTATTGCGCAATACTGTGCAATTGAAGATTTCTTGCAATTGTGCAATACTTATTATATAATAATTTACACATCCTGTTTGGTGTGTATCTCCTACCATATCATTATTATTTGCTTTTAAATATTAATCAGAAATAACCAACTTAAAATGGAAAATTTTAAAAGAAAAAAAAAAGGAAAAAAAGAAAAAAAAAAATCCCCCCCCAAATTTTTTGAACCCCCTTATGATTCATCACCCCCAAACTCAATCCCAGCCTTCCCTTTGTGGTATGGTACCTTGCAGTACAATTTCAGAGAGATCCATACACTTGAACACAAGT